CTTCGTCAAAGATCTTCAGAAAAAGTAGTAATCGGCCTTAGATGGTGTGACACAGTGCTGTCTCACTTGAAGTGCAAACCAATCCCTTATGATATTTCTCTTTTTTGTTTCCTACGAGAAGTGAACGATATTTAGTTGAAAGCCGATTAAGAGGAATTTTTTATTATTCCTTTACGTTCTCAGTGGAATGTGCGGCTTCAAGCTAGAGACTTGAAGTCTCGGTAGCAGTGGCGTTTATTTTTACGGGATGGGGTTGCTAGTCTCATACTCAGGCTTCCCTCTTTACCAGCCTTATTACTGGCTAAGCGAGGTAAAGGAGTGCGTCTGTGGCCGGAGATCGAACCCCGGACCACACACATGGTTAGCGAGCATCCTACCGACGACATTAGGAGGATTGAAGAAGTAAATTCCATGATCGAAGGGTATAACTGAATGACCAAAGATTGCAGATAGTCAGTTTCATTGCTCAGGCAGTGACAGTTTATACTGAAAATCTCAGGAACGGTTATCTTACATAGTACGATAAGCAGTCGCAATTTTTTCTGAATTTTATGAGAAACTTGTGAATCAGAAGTCTGTAAAGTTTTCAAATGCTCGCGATAGTGAATAATACCGTAGATTAAACCAAACAATATAATGATGAAGGTTACTGTGGCCAAAAGTTTAAGCAGTCCACTTATCCTGTGATCCTATCTTGAGTTAGTTTGAATAGTTTAACTAATGGCAACCTAGGGGTCGTCTTGTGCGCCGCTTCCAATAAGACCTCTTGATATTTCTCAGATTCCATTGATCACAAGTGTGAAGAAGCAGAGATTTTCGAAGGAATATCAAATTTTCAAGACTTAACTTTTAAGGATTATATTTGTTTTTCTTAACGAGTTTGACCACGGGCTGATCTCAGCTAGGGAACCATTGAAAACCAGCAGAGAGTAGTGGATAGCTGTTTCATCTTAGTTTGGGAATCATCGGTAGTATGCACCCACTGGTAGGGTTGGAATCCTGGATCTTCTGGTTACAAGGTGAGCTAGCTCGTAGACCATTAAGCCACTGGGACCCGATTCAGTGACCAGCCCATGAATTCTAACTTCCAAAAATTCGTGTTTTAGCGCTACCGCCAACCACTGTCATCGGTGGGACATCCATCCTAACACTTGACTGGATGGACGTCACTGGTCACGACTTCTCAAGTCAAGTGTGAGGATGGATGTCACGTGGACGATAGTGGTTGATGGTCACGCTAAATCACGAATTGGTAGAAGTTAGAATTCATGGTCCATTGAGGAGTTGAGTCCCAGTGGCTGAGTGGTATACGAGCTTGCTTTGCAACCGGAAGGTTTTGAGTTCAAATCCTGTTCCCGGGTGATTACTGTCGATGATTCCCATACTAAGACGGATGAAACAGCTGTCCAGTACTCCAGTGCTAATTTTCAATGGTTCTTTAACGAATATCAAATTATCAAAACCTGGTTGACAAATAATTTCAGAATAAAACCTATAAATAGCGGGTTAAAATCCTGCTATGAGGCAAAGCATTTTGTATAACCTTCAGTTATCATTCACTGATTACATTCATAAATCCTTTACTTTAATTCCATCATAATAAGGAATCATTAAACCTTCAGAAAACAGAATTATTCATAAGCAAAGAATACAGATTTTTCAAAAGTAGTAGACCTAGGTCTAATATGAAATTATCGCTGATGAAGTCAGAAGTGATGAACATTCAGCTGATGTTGTAATTGATTTTGTTATTAGCGATAAAGTTAATTTGCGAAGCTTTCATCACCCTACTAGGTGACGTGTTCAGCGCAAACTTCAATTTGATGTGAGCTGTTAGATTTCTCCTAGAGTTTATTAATCATCCCTCCCGGTGACCTTGGACGTGATTGGTTGTTTTTGTGTGTTTTCACACCTTCTAGGCTATTTGTATTCGAACTGATTGTTTCTTTGACTTGAACTTTGACTCTTTGTGTGTGAGGTTGATAAATTCTGTCTATCTCGATGTGTTCATTGATTGATGATTCACTGGAATACCAGGCTTCTAGAAATTCTCTATCTCACTTCAAATTCAAGTATGCTCTGAACATGTCACCTAGTAGGGTGACGAAAGCTTCGCAAATTAACTATCCAGCTCAGAGAACACAACAACATCGAAATCATCCACCTGAGCTACAAATCTTCTCCATCATATCTACTACTAAATGTTTGTTTTTATCCTGTTTTATATACCATCTTTCACCTTCATGCTTGTTAGGCGGCAGCCTCAGGAATTCACTTCGCTTCCTATTTGACCTTTATACTCATTACGTACCCTGAAGTATGCATATATATGCATATATAATGGTGTGCTGTAAGCTTAATTTTATCAGACTACACTGTTGTAGTTAGACGGAAAAATACTGGGAATAATAACACCTGAGTCGAATGTCTGTAGAGTGATTTTATCCCACCTACAGGTCTGCCATAACAAAAAAAACAAGTTTATATGTGTCTAACTGCTGCTTATCTTTTAATCAGGAAACTATTTATATAGTGAAGTGGTAGGTTTGCATTTTTCTCTTAGTAATCTGAATCACAGTTGTTACGCTGACAGTAGAAGTACAGTCCAGTTTAACCAACCCGAACGTTAGCTTCTGTTATAGTGCTACTTGCATATTCCTTAGAAATAGAAAAGAATAGGATCTATTTCTACACAGTTCAGCACTGTGGGACGCGTGTTCAAATCTCGGATGGAATAGGACTCCCATCGAGGTTGTAGATTCATGCATCGCTGACAAGCGTTAAATTAGATTTCAGGATTTTCTATTTATTACCTTCAAAAAAGTAACATCGATTCAGGGTTTACCTAGATGGTGGGCATGTTGACCACATTTCAAAACTGACTGATAGAGATTAGTCTACGCCAATATTAAGAACTACGTGCATCACATTTATTCCGTCATTGTGACTAATAAGTGAAAAATTTCTAAGGCAAGATGCAGTTCGTGCAAAGAATATTCTTCTCGACAAATTCCTCTTCAAACTGTTCAATTATATACATATATGCATGCATTTATATTCACAAAATATTCTAGAAGGATTATCATTAACATTATTTATGCTTTTTTTCAAACACTATCTACCTGTTAAGTAAGATCAATGGAATTACAGTTCACGAAAGATGCATAAATTATTGTAAGCATTAAAGTGTAATAGCAAATAAAATATCAAATGAAATAAAGGGAATTTTCACAACAATTTGGGGATCTACTGACATGTTTGGCTGCTAATGTTATTTTTCTTGCAGTAATTGAAGTATGTGGGAGTAAATATTTTGGAGTTATATGATTTTTTAAACATCGACTGTTGAAAATTCGATGGTTTGTGAATCTTGCTTCTGTTTGACAAAGTCGTGTGAGTTTGTTGATAAGCTTCTTAGTAGGAAGACCTTGATATGATTATGAGCAATAAATTGTGCTCGAAACGTCATCAGTAAATATTACTACAAGACTTTATCAAAATAAATTTCACCCATAGTGAAACTCAGAATCATTAAAACCTCGATGGCCAGCAAAGTAAGGACAGTGTCTGAACTAACTTCTCTTATATATATTAGTTAGGTTTCTTAAATTGGATCTCAACGGTCTCAGCAATGTTTAGTAGACGAACTCTTAAGGTGAAGCTATGATTAGCTGTTATGTGGCAAATGACTTTGAAAGACTCGTTAACATCAAGTCTGTGTTCTATATTTGCAAGATGAGATAGAACAAAGCTATGATTGGATTTTCTTTGTCCTTTACTTAACCAAGTAGGATGGTGTTCGGAAATCTGACGATAAACATGCCTAGTTGTACGACCTATTATAGTGGCTTCACAGGAGTAGTAGAATTGGTAAATATACATAGAATAGGTAAAACTGATTGTTATTATTGTTTCTTTTAATTCCAAGAGGAACATAGGGCTTCAGCCGCGCGTCTCCATTGCGTTCGGTTCTCTGCTACAATCTTCACCTGGCTCCAAGTTTGCCCACACGTTTTCATCTGCTCTTCACATGACCTCCTCCAAGTCACCCTTGCACTGACGACCAACTCGCCGTTTCCCTTTCGGGTTCCACTCGAGCAATGGCTTGTCTAGTGATGTCACTTGATGGTTTCCTCAGAGTATGGCCAATCCATCTCCATTTCTTCCTGCCTATTTGTTTCACAATCGGTTCCTGGTTGGTTCGCTTCAAAAGATCCCTGTTGCTGATCTTTTCTGGCCATCGGATCTTGAGTAGTATTGAGCGAAGACAACTGTTAATGAAAGTTTGTAGTTTGTTTGAGATGCTCTTTATGACGCGCAGTGCAAGTCTCTGATTTCACATTGGAGTTGAAAATCCGGATCTTATTTTTGATGCTGAGTGCTGTTGACCTCCACACAGACTTGAGAGTAATGAAAGCTCGTCTTGCTTTCCCGATCCTCAATTTGATATCCTCGTCAGTTCCGCAAGTGGTTGAAACGGTGCTTCCCAGGTAGGTGAAGGAGGTTATTTCTTTCAGGTTTCTTCCATTTATGCTGATTGTTGTCTGTTGTTGTTGTCGTCCAGGAATCTTCACTACCTCTGTTTTCTCTATGTTCACCTGAAGTCCTTGCTATCTTTGATGCTTCTTCATCCAACTTGTTGCTTTCGCTTGCATATCTTCCGGTTTGTGGGAAATCAGATATATATCATTGGCGAAGTCCAGATCCTCCAAGTTTTTTGTGTGAGTCCAATTTATGCCTGTTTCCTCATTGCCCGCCGTTTTTCGCATTATCCAATCTACCGCAATCAGGAAAATCATTGGCGAAGCTGGAAAGATGTGTAAAGTGATCAGTTAATGCACGTTTCTTTATTCTAGTCCTAAGGCCGTCTAGGACTACATATACCAGTGAGTGTACCTCATTCAACTTTTTGAAATTTTTTTCGTTAATTTTCTCACCTCTAAATAATTTTAATGTCGCTGAAATTCCCCCTTTTTTCTCTTCTCTTTGTTCTTTAGAAGAAACAATCTTTGCTGCAACATGGCTCGGTTACTTTAACGCCTGTTTAAACTCTGTTGTCTACTCACTGTTAAACAACAAATTTCGTATCGCTTGTGCTAAACTTCTGTGTGCATGGCACTACAATCGTGAACGACGTCATCAATATGGATTGGATAATTTAAGACATTTCGGAGATGCACCTATTCATCTAGCACTTGGTCGTGTTCCATGGCATAAAGATTATGAAAGTGTAAATAAAAGCGCAAAGTGAAATGGTGCTGTTTTGTTTATGCCTTTAACAATATAAATAATATATATATACACGCACAAACACTTGTCTATTCAAACATCTACATGTAGTATATATGTCTTATTCTTTTGTTAAACCATTGTCTATGTGTATTTGTGTGCATGTGTGTGTGTGAGTGTCAGACTTGCTGAACTTTAACAATACATTCACAGCTTTTATTGTTTCTTATCAAAATACTCTCGTCTCAAAATGTATATTCACTGATATTCTATTCACTAAAAAGAGAAAAACCCCGCCACTCTTTTTCAGATGCATGTATCATTTCTTACCGTTTTTCCTCTCTACCTCTACTGTGATTATAATTGTACATATCAAAGCGTAAAATAAAAATATTCTTCAAAAGACATAAATTATTTTTAATCCTAAATGGTTGGAGGATTTCATCATGAGCTGATATCAGTTAGAGAACCATTGGAAAGTCAGTTGGGAGTCCCCCGTCCTAGTTCAGGACTCTTCATCAGTACGCCCCCATCACCACGGTTCGAACCCAGGACCTTCTGGTTACAAGGTTAGTGAGCTGGTAGGCCATTAAGTCACTGGGCTGCCGACCAGTCAAACAGAATCCCTACAAAATACCAATACTTGAAGAATAGTGATTATAAAAAGACAGTTGCAGCGAAGAAAATTTTCTTTTCGATGAAGTCATCAACTAGGCTGTACATTCGTGTATTTACAATAATAAATAAATAGAAAAGTTCCAGAATAATTTCCAGTCAAGGGTCAAATTAATAAAATTACAATTAGGAATTAAAATGCCATAATAAACAGGGGGGGGGACGGATGAAACTCAAACAAAGTAGCATCATAATTACTGAGAAGATTGACATAGTGTAAAATTAGGGGTCAGAAACGTAGAAATAACAAAAATAGACAGGATGTTTGGATAAAAAGTCTCGTCGGATCATAATTAATGTGACGAATAACTGTTTATGCAACTAGGGATTAAATAAGTAGAAATAATAAAGTGACAAAGTAGACAAGAAGTTCGGATATGAAAATATGCTGGTATAAATAGGGATTAAGAAAAACTTGAAAATAACGTGAATAAACCGGAAGTTTGGATAAGAAAGGCAATGGGATAGTCACTATTAAAAGAATTACCTGTTTATGATGGCCATGGCAGGGACAAGGGTTGGACGTATTTCTTTTGGATACAAAGCGTGGGTTTGAGCTTTTGGATGGCTAGTGCCTCGGCTATGCCCAGATGTCTTGATTTTACTCCCTTTAATAGGTTTGATCGAATCTTGTTTATTATTTTGAAGAATTTTTTGAATTGCGCTGAATGTCCTGAGTTGACCAGATGTTCTGTCACTGAACTGTATACACGTTTTTGTTCTCCTTTTACTAGCCAGGCTTGATAGTGTTCACAAGTGCGTTTTTCAAGTTGGCTCATGGTACGGCCGATGTACTCAGCTCCACATGAGCAAGGCCCAATGCAAAGGCTTGTCTTTCGCGTTCTAGGTGAACAGTTTCTTTTAGGAAAATGTCAGTCGTAGGCTTGTGGTGAAGTATGTTTTCCTCAAAGATTTGCAGAGGTGTTTGCAATGGATTTCTGCTTCAGTATCACCTTTGAATTCTAGGTTAAGCAGAAGTATCTTCTTCAGGACGGGTTGAACTTGTTCAGAAGCATTCTTTGATTTTAAATTCCTGACTATGAACCTAGATGGAAAACCGTTTTCCATCAAGGTTCCTCGGAGATTACGCAGTTTCTCGTCAATCACTTCCTCTCTGCATATCTTCCAAATCCTCAAGGAGAGATTCGTCTTTCTGCTTAGGGGCACGAGGCTTTGAAAACTGATGAAATGTCCATTCCATATAGGCTTTTTGTACATGGACGTTTCCAAAAAGTTGTCGGGGTTTTTTTCAGATGGAAGTCGAGGAAGTTGAACTTTCCGTCAGCATCAGCTTCAAGAATGAAGTGGATGTTTTGGTGGGCATTGCTGAAGGTTTGAAGTAAGTTCTCAACGTCCAGATTCTCATCACAAATGATGAAAGTATCATCAATGTATCTCTTGTAAAGATGAAGGTCGGTGATAGTCGATGACAAGAAGCTGTTTCCGAGGCTGACCATAAAAGTCCGCCAGAGTAGTAATTATCATAGTGATTGATAATTTGTTATCTGAAGTTGAACACTTCTAGCACAATTAAACGAATACCAGTGAGACTGTGTATTTGATCAGCCTATTTCTTTTTTTATTACAAAATTTCATCACTCAGAGCAAACCTTCCTGGGTATATTTTCAAATGATGATTCACCGGTCTCCCCATTAGTCGCTGACCTTTTCATGAATGCATGAATATTATGGGCCATACGCAAGGCTTTTGCGAATTTTGACGCTGAAATATTTCGTATATTATATCCGACTTATATCAGACCTCATTAGGAATATGGGATCCAGGCAGCGAGCCCGTGTTTCAAATACGAAATAGACTTATTAGAAAGGGTGCAAAGATTAGGAACTAAGCTAATAAAGGGTTTCTCAACCCTCTCATATGAGGAGAGGTTAAGTCGACTGGGTTTATTTCCACTGTCATACAGACGACTTAGGGGTGACCCAATACTAGCATACCGTATCCTAAGAAATGATTTTGGAGCAAATTTATCTAATTTATTTCTTCCTTCTAGCACCAACCGATTGCGAGGACATCACCTCAAGGTTTAAAAACCACGGTCAAATCGTCTGCGTTTGGAGATCCGTTTTTCGCATCGAATTGTGAACCATTGGAACTCCCTACCGGAACACGTCGTATCAGCGCCATCCGTTGATTCATTCAAGGCGAGACTGGACCTCCTGTGTGTAACAATCGAAAGGATTAACACAGGCATATAGCCTACTATCCTAAATAAATTGTAAACTGTAAGACATTCGAAGATAACATCTTTTCGAGCATACTCACTCCTAAATCATGGTTAGATATGTAGGTGATACCTTTATAGTCCTAAAACGAGATCTACACACTTCACCCTTGGAGAAACTGAACAATGTCTCCCAGAATCCAGTTTACTTCTGAAGCCGAATCAGACGTCGGTGAACTACCATTTCTAGACTGCCTAGGTAAGAGTAGGGAAAACAGACATTTTAGCATATCTCTATTAAGGAAGAAAATCCACTCCAGTATTTATCTGGACTTCGGATCATCACACTCCATCAGTGCAAAGTTATCAGTTGTTTCAAGTCTTCTTAGACGAGCACACTCTCTTATAACGGATGAGAAGGAAAAAGAAGAAGAAATATGAAACATTACTGAGACTCTCAAGCAAAACAACTCCCAAAAAAACTTCATCAACAAAATCAACACTGACAGTAAGTATGGTCAAAAACGTATTCCGAAAACATGGACCCCAACAGTTTTAATTCTATATATACCATCAGAAATGTCAGACGATATCAGAAGAGTACTCAGTGAGCTCAACATCAGAGTTTTCTTCAGAACATCAGACACACACTACAAAGCAACCTTGTTCATATAAAAGACCAAATCCTGAAAGATTCTCTATTTAATTGTGTCTATAAAATAATATGCTTGGAATGTGATGCGATATACAAAGGACAAACATCGCGAGAAATCAAAATCAGAAGAAATAAACACCGTAGAGCAGAGCATCTGTTCGACCACCGAGAAATCCAGTTAATGAACTAGAAAAGCTTGAAAAACCATCAGCCATAGGTGGTGGTGGTCTACACGCTATAGAATCAGACCACAAATTGATTTTGACAATATTGAAAGTCTCAGAAATTACAGAGACCGTCTAATATCACAGGGACTTCATATCAAATGGAATCCAAATGTCTGATGAGTAGGAATGATGGACTTAAGCAGAATTTGACCTGGATACAAAACCTCCCTCCTTCATGAAATGACAAATCACCACGAATATGATAAGCAATTTCATTATGTAAATACACGCTGCTTTTACAATTTTACCCACTTATTAAATCCAACAGCCTACACATGGTTATTTTTATCTTTACCAATTCGCCAACTTGACAACGCGAAAATGACCCCTTGCTGAGTAACGATGATTAAGTTATTACATATATATAAGGTGAGATTTTGTAAATTCTTGTTTAATAAAAACTTTGATAAAGCTATTTAAAGCAGCATTAAATAGCAAGATGTCAGTGAAAACAGCAACAATATCATTTTGTTTTTCATTCATTAGGAAATACAAAAACCTTTATTATAATGAATATCATGTACCCAATGCCCAAATTTTTTCACACTGTTAAAAGTGAACTTGGTTTGGACAAATATATGATGGAAACTAGATTGGTGTCCTGAACATATCTGAAGATGGAATCATGTTTACTTATAGATAGAATTTCATTTAGTCTACTAGACTACAGCAACTAGACTGTAACTAATGAAGTCAAATATTTTTATATTCTCCGACAAGTGTATAATTTGGTGGACAGTTCGAACTATGATAATTATTTGGAACAGCACTAATCACCAGTCGAAAATTTATCACTGTTTTGCAACAGAACAGGATTTATCAAGTGTTGCCTTGCAAGGATTTGATTGGTTACACGTTTGGTCACGAGATGATATCAGTTACAGAAAAGTTAGAAAACCTGGAAGTACTGTACTGCTCTTTTGTCTTAGTTTGAAACTCTTCAATGTAACACACCCACTCAGCTTCCAGTCCAGAACCTTCTGGTCACAAGGTGAACTAATAAACCTTACAGGCAATGAAACCCGATCCAATCACTCATGAACTCCAACTTCTGTCAATTCGCACAACCGCCAGCCAGTGTCACAGGCAACTTACTGTTCACTTACCCGACTTGATGGACCGTTCTGATTACAATTCTGCTAGAATGGGTAACTTCTTGTATAGAGCATCAGACTAGTTATTAAGTGTCAGTTTGAAGGGATTTAATTGGTTATTGGTTTGGTCACGAGTTGAAGTCGGAAGTATTGGACAGCTGCTTCCTCCATATTGGTTTGGATCCACACCGGAAGGTTCTCGGTTCGAACCTCATTAGGTGCATACTGCTGAATATTCTCAAACTAGAACAAGATTTATTATGTTTGGAAAAATAAAACAGTTTGATTTTTAAGTATTGGTTTTTTTAAGGAATTTCGTTTGATTGGTTACAGGATTTCATCATGAGCTGACATAATTTAGAGAACCATTTGGAAACCTGCAAGGAGTACTGGACAGCTGCTTACCCCATCCTAGTTTAGGACTGTTCATCAATACGCACCCACCACAGAGGTTCGAACCCAGGACCTTCTGGTTACAAGTCGAGCGAGCTCGTAGACCATTCAGCCACTCTTTGGGACCAGATCCAATGGCCAGCCAGCCCATGAATTCTAACTTCTGCTAATTCACGATATAGCGCGACCACTTCTCAATGTCTTGTTCGATGAGTAACTGCATCACCTTCAACCAGCTACACCCTTCTTGTCACGGCTTCCCAC